GGGGGGAAACAAATTAACTTCCCTTTCACAATGCCAAAACAGCAATTTTTGCTTCTATAACGTTTTCGTAATCATGGCTGCATCAGATTTTTCAGAAAAATGCAATGATGTTAAAGCCATAGTCTACAATTACTGTAATTACTTGAATTCAAGACTCCCCACCTGTCCCCCAACGGCCTTAGGTCCCCTGTACCTTCCTCCCACCCAGCCGTTGCCTGCCCTTTTTCTGCTCTGGCCCCATTCCAGCCTGGGGCACAGAGCACTGTCCTAGCCTGGCTTGGCAGATGTGGCAGAAGCAGCAACTCTGGCCAGGCCCTAGAGCTTCCACATCACCATTGCTGCTACTAATCCCAGTTGTGGCCATGCTTCATTGCCCAGGCTCAAACAAAGCCAGAGCTTGGCAGAGCAGAGCAAGAGTAAGTGAGGAGGGGCAGAGGTCAAGCTGTTTGACCACCCCCCATCCCATACACACACACCAGGCTATCACCTGGCCCCTCGCCAGTGTTTTCCCCACTGTACAACTGGAGAAGATGAATTTAAGACAACCCTCCATTAATAATTAGATTTTCTACATGGAAAATATAACAAATTTATACATTTTCCATGTACATAATCTAATTATAGAAGGGTCATTTTAAATTCAGTGTGGTCTCTGATTCAGTAAATATAGTATATACAGAAATATTACAGACTCTCGCAGGTGCCATAATCCATACACACAGATCCAGCTGTAGGACTGAGACCCAAAATTTGACGTATGATTGAAGTATAACCAGCTTAGAAATGTTTAAAATGGCCTTGTCTTAGAAACAAGACTATATGTCCTTGCAAACAACATGTACTTTTCCCCAAAAAACCACCTGCTGGAAACAGGAGTGCACAACATATGTGAGAAACAAGGTAAGAACAAGTTTTGCTGCTGATGGGGTAAAACCAAAAGTAAAATCTGCAGGAATCCACAGGGAGCAGAACAATGAGCAGGCTCCACTCCCAGCAGCTGCTACTCAATTTACTACATGAAAAGATCTTTTTTTTCCCCTTCATTCTGCCTTTCAGAAATAAGACATCAATGATATTGTGGAACATACTCTATGCAAGAAAATACATTACAATCTCTAACCAGACGGTGTTTATTTTCCTCATGCAGAAATATGAGGGAAAAATTCAGTACAAGCAAAAAGCACACCTCTTATTTTTCAATGTCAGATATGTGACTTACTACACTGCATTTGTTAATGAAGTGATTTTATTTTGCTTTGTTTTTTTTAACACATTGCTCTCCAGTTTAAGAACAGAAAGACTACACATCTCTACTAGGGTGGCCATCATAGAGGATAGTCCGGTTGTCCTCTCTCAATACAAAACCTGACGCCTTTATGTCCCCATTTTTCTCTTAAAGAGAAAATAGAGGACATAAAGGCGTCGGGTTTTGTATCAAGAGAGGACAGAGTAGCAGAAAACCGGAATGTCCTCTATGATGGCTATCCCAATCTCCACCTGCGTGCTTCATTGGAAAAAAGAAAAGAAAAGGAAAAGCAAGCTATAAATGAAACCTTCAAAGGCCCAAGCATTTTTAAACACCACACTTACCTCAGGGGGAATTCGTGACTTTGTAAATTTATAGCGAATCCCTCCAGCCCAAGGCACAGACCGTGGGCTCTTGGCCAGAATCTAAAAATAATAATGGTAGTAGTAATCACAGTAACAAAACAACAAATGGCAATTTTTCTTTTTGAAATTTCACCAAATCAGTTCCCACTTCTACTGGGCAAAGCTCAACAGTCAAATTCCAACAGAGCAAAGCTCAATTGTTCAAGTCTGTGTGGCTCTACCACTGGACAAGCATCCTTCATTCCAGACCTGTCTAGAGCTTCAGATACTCCCCAAATCTGTGGCAAGTGTCCTACAGGCAAGCCCAGAGCCCAGATGTCCCTTAGTCTTGCTTATTCCTAACCAAAAGGCTGGGAAGCAACCCAGGGGAACACAAAAAAGCAACCCCTCTCCCCCCCATTGCGTGTGTAAAATTGCGCGGTTGAGTCTCCCGCATTTGGGAAAGCTTGCAGGGGTCAGCTGGCCTGGAGTGCAAAGAACAAGCCTCACCCTGGGAAAACCACCACCGCGATCGCCGTCTCCCCTGCCAGGTAAATATAGCAACAGCAATAACAATAAAATGAATTAAAATTAAAACTACAAACCTGTAAGGGCACCCTGTATTTAAGAAATGAAGGCACAAGCCCCGGCACTGCCTAGATCCCTGCCTCTCCTTGGAGTTCCCAAGTAAGGTTACCATATGTCCAGGTTTTCCTGGACACATCCTCTTTTTGAGTCCTCCTATCTCCACGCGGGTGGGTTTTTCAAATCTGAGCAAATGTCCAGGTTTTTGCTTTGCTCCACTGGTGGGTGCAGGGGGAAAGGCAATTGTAGGCAGGGAGCTGCAGGCAGGTAAGTCGGGGTTGCGGGGCTGCAGCTGCTGCAGGGCAGAGAGGCCAGGGAGGTTGTCTACCCCTCCAGCAGGGGAAGGGGACAGGGGGCCTTTTGGCCCAGGTCAGCAGCACGGGGGATGGTGCTGTGCTTGCAGGGGCAGAGCAGCCAGGAGATGCTGGGGGGAAGAGGAATGTGGGCCATGGCCAGACCTCCTGGCACGGTGTGGCAGCCCCAGCCCAGGGTGGGGGGTGCCACAAGCCCACCCTTTTCCCTCCAGCCTGCACTGGGGCCTGAGTTGCTCTGTCAGGACAAGGGCAGCTGGGGCCCCTCCAGCAGGGGGCTGCTGGTCAGGAGAGAGGTTCAGCATGGCCCAGGGGGACACTAGCAAGGTGGGAGTGAGGGGCACTGGCAGGGCTGGGCTCTGTGGGTCAGAAATGAGGCACAGCAGCAGGGCTGGGGGGGGGGGAGGGAGTTTTGGTTGGGAGTGAGGGGCAACAGAATAGGCACAAGCTGAGCATATCGCTGCCCCCACAATCATATTCCCCTCTGCGTAACAGGTGTCATTTTTTTAAAACTGAAAATATGGTAACCTTGTGCAGGGGGTGCTGCAAGTCCTTTGCCAGGGGGCCGCAAAACATGCAAAAATATACGTGGGGGAGCGGGGGGTCCAGGGGCGGTCAGGCTGTCCCTTTCCAGGTGCCCCCAGCCTAGCCCAGCCCCTGCAGGGAGATGGAGCCCTGGGATAGAGACCAGTGTCGGAGCCCTGCGGGTCAGGAGGCGCAGCTGAAGGTCGGTACAACCCCCGCGTCGCGCTCCAGCCTCTTCTGCGCCTCCACCACCAACGCGGCGGCAGAAAGCCCCGGGCTGGGGTGGAGTAGGGGGGCAGAGACCCCAGGGGCCGCGTTGGGGGCTACAGTCGGGGTGG